GATAACTCGAGGAAATGTTTAAGCTTGAACCCAGAATAGAAAAAAGTTCAATCCAGAAGGTCCTTGTAAATCGACCATCCCTGTCGCTAACAATGCTCGTCGGGACTCCCCATAACTTTACTATATGTTTAAAGAACAACTGGGCCGTCAGCTCGGCGGTACACGTCTTGGGAGTCGGAATGAAGGTTTCATATTTGGAAAATCGATCAATAACGACAAGAATGGCTTCATGTTCTCCTACTTTTGCAAGTGGGAGATGAAATCGAGCAACACACTCTCCCATGGTCTCGTAGGAGTTGGTAGGGGTTCGAGCAACCCTGCTATTTTAGTCCTTTCTACCTTATCTTGCTGACAGGTAAAACAGGTCTTCGTGTATTGCATCACATATTCCTGCATATAAGGCCAAAAGTACCCCTTTTTCAACAAAGCATAAGTCCGTTGCCACCCAGGGTGACCAGCCCATAGAGTATCGTGACACTCGTATAGGAGCTTCTTTCTCAGGTCTCCCATTCTTGACACATACAGTCTGTTTCCTCTTGTAAATAGCATGTCCCCTTCGACCCAGAAATGGCGGGTCTTCCCAATCTTAGCCAACTCGACCACAGTTCGGGCGAAGGGGTCTCTTTGAAGATATTCTCTGATGAGGTCGCGGACCGACCCGTCCACTTTGCTGGCGTGGATGTGGGCTAACATGCACAGGGCCGCATGTTCGCCTTTCCGGCTAAGAGCGTCGGCAGCTTGGTTGGACTTTCCTGCCTTGTATTCAAACTTAAAATCAAACTCGGCTAACAATTCCTGCCACCTGGCCTGTTTGGATGTTAGCTTAGGCTGGTTGAAGAAGTGGCAAATGGCACTGTTGTCCGTCTTCACCACAAAATATGAACCCAACAAGTACTGCCTCCAAAACCTGAGGCAGTGAACGACCGCTAGCATTTCTTTCTCTAATACGGTATAGAGTCGTTCCGCATTGTTCAGCTTACGACTTTCGTAAGCGATCGGGTGGCCATCTTGGAGAAGGACGCCACCTAAAGCATAGTCTGAGGCATCCGTTTCTACTTCGAATGGCCTCGTTATGTCGGCTAACCCAAGTACTGGGCCTTTCATCATGGCCGCCTTTAGATCTTCGAAGGCGTCCTAACTTTCCTTTGACCACATCCAGGTCATTCCTTTCTTCAGTAACTTTGTCATTGGGGTGGCTCGCCATGAGAATCCTTCGATAAATCGTCGATAATAGTTAGCCAACCCCAAAAAGGAGTGCAACTCGGTCACAGAGGTAGGGACTCTCCATTCTTGGTTCGCCTTTACCTTATCTGTGTCCATACTGATTTGCCCCTGTTCGATCACGTGGCCAAGGAACGTGATCCGCTTTTGTGCGAACGCACACTTTTCCTTCTTTACGTATAACTGATTCTGTCTTAGTTTGTCGAAGACCAATAGGAGATGGATCTGGTGCTCCTTCAGCGTCGGACTGTATACCACTATATCGTCGAGATAGACTACCACAAATTGATCGAGATATTCGTGAAAGACCTGATTCATCATAGTACAGAACGTGGCAGGGGCATTCGTTAATCTAAAAGGCATCACGAGAAATTCAAAAGCCCCATACCTCGTCACACAAGTAGTCTTAGGCTCGTCACCTTCTGCAATACGCACTTGGTAGTAGCCCGACCTGAGATCCAATTTCGTGAAGTATTTAGCTCTATGTAATTGGTCAAACAAGTCGGTTATGATTGAGAGGGGGTACTTATTGCGAACAGTGACTTTGTTGAGGGCTCTATAGTCAATGCACAGATGCAACGTCTCATCCTTCTTCTTCTGAAACAGCACTGGGGCTCCGAAGGGAGCTTTAGCTGGACGGATGAACCCAACGTTTAACAACTCGTCTAGCTGCTTCCGGAGTTCAGCTAACTCAGGTGGAGCCATCCGGTAAGCATTCTTTGCTGGAGGTTTAGCTCCTGGAATGAGCTCGATTTTGTGGTCAATCCCTCGTCGAGGGGTAAGGTCTTCGTTAAACTATCTGGCATTATGTCAACATACTCTCTCATGACAACTTGAATCTCGGGTGGGACATCTCTTGTCTCCACCGTCTGTTCGACCATCGGAATGGGCATGAAGGTGGGTTCCTCCCAGTTGAGGCATTTCTTCAACTGTAACGCGGATATCATCCTTATACCACCAGGCTGTTTGATGCTAGCTGTGACCACAGTGGGACTATTACTAGTGATGATCATACACTTGGCCAAAGGCATTGGTAAAGGTGTATAAAGCCCAGTATTTTGTGTAGTTCCTTTATAAGTTTGACAAGTAAAACACTTAGTGACATAGTTAGAAACATCTCCGTGGATATGTGGCCAATAGAAGCATGAAGATACTATATCCAAAGTTTTATCACGGCCTAAATGCCCCGCAAGGCCACCCGCATGGACATCCCGTGGAATAGCCTCCCTTAAGGAGGTACGAGGAATACATAGTGCATTTCCTTTAAATAGGTATCCTTCCACAATATGGTAGTCTTCGATAGGCATATGAGTTGAACATTTGTACCAAATGTCTTGGATGTCTTTGTCAGTCTCATATAAATCAGGGAGATAGTCAAAGGCAATAATCTCACCTTTAAGGATGGTTAAAAGGCTGTTTTTCCGGCTTAAAGCGTCTGCTGCCTTATTAGTTGTTCCCGTCTTATGTTTAATCACAAATTCGAATCGTTGTAAAAAGGACAACCAACGGGCGTGCATACGACTAATTGTTTTTTGAGTATGCAGAAATTTTAAGGAGAAATGATCCGTAAACAAGACAAATTCTTTACTTAGTAGATAATGCTCTCACTGTTTCAAAGCACAGACAAGGGCATAGAGTTCTTGCTCATTAGTGCTCCATTTTTTACGGGATGGGCTAAGTTTTTCGCTAAGATACTCTAAAGGATGATTGTTTTGAGATAAAACAGCTCCCATACCGATCCCAGAGGCATCTACAACCACTTCAAAAGGTGAGTCAAAGTTTGGAAGTGCTAGAACGGGGCTTTCACATAGTTTGGTTTTGATTAGTTGGAAACTATCTATTTATGGTTGTCCCCACGAAAATTGACCCTTTTTAAGGCAGTTTGTCAAGGGAGCTACGATTGAGATAAAATGTTTTATAAATTTCCTATAGAAGGAAGCAAGCCCTAGGAAACATTGGACATCCCTTACCGTTTTAGGCTCACTCCATTCGGCTATAGCTTGAACTTTAGAAGGGTCCATTTTTACTTGATTATGACCAATGATAAAGCCTAAGAAAGATATTTCAATTGTGACAAAGAGACATTTTTTAAGATTGATCACGAGTTTATCATCTGCCAATGTAGTGAAAAGTAACCGAAGGTGGTCTAGGTGATCATGCATAGTAATGCTATAGATGAGAATGTCATCGAAATAAAGAAACGTTCATGAGCTTTTTCATTCGCTCCCAATTGCAGATGGGTTGCTTCCCATAACGATGCCTATTAACTTCTAGCTGGTCCCACCAAGTCGAAGCTCCTCCCTTTAGTTTTAATGCCACCAATCGAACCCTCCTGTGATCCGGAGTTCCCATATAACTAAAGAAATTTTCTACATTCTTAACTCAATCTAAGAACCCCTCAATATCCATCTTACCATTGAAACTAGGAAGATCAATTTTCATTTTATACTCATTCTGTTCTTGATTCCTATTTGGGTTAGGAAACCTACCAAAACGCTCCCCTTCAAAGGCAATTATTTCTTCATCCTCCTCACTTGAAGAATCAAACAAGAGCTCACGTCGCCGTTGAAACAGAGGGTTGCGATTGACTTCTTGTTGGAAAAGGCACGGTTCTTGGCGGTTTCTTGACTCGAAACGAACTGTCCTTGGTCTTCTTGGTGGATCAGCCTACCTTTCTTGGGAAAAAACTTGTCTACGGTCATTCATCCTTGTTTCTTGATCCATTCTTGCTTGTTGATCCACTCTTGCTTGCTGATCCATTCTTGCTTGCGGCAGCGTTGTGTTGAACCAGAGAATGTTGCACACTCATTGCTTCAAGCTTGTCATGGATGATCTCCAAAATTTGTTTAATCTCGCCAACATCTTGCTGGATGGTTTTCACCTCCCCTTCAACCGACAGCAAGCGTGCGGTTGATGACCGTGGCGCAAGAATGGAGGCTTGCTCAATTTCTTTGTTACCGAGGGAAGAGTCGCCCAAGTTGATCGACTTCTTTCCCGCCATCTAACCTAGAAAATGGGCTGCTCTGATACCAAGATTGGTGTACAATACACGGGCTGATTTCTTGAAGAGAATAATTTCTTACAATAGGAAAACCAACAGCTATTTAAAGAAGTTGCTGGCACATTAACCATACGGTAACCACACTTACAACTAATAACAACGTAACAACCTTACTCAACTTAACTAACTAACCAACCTTACATAATAACTACATCAGATATGAAAAAAAAATACACCTTTTAATTTCTATTAAAACATGCACAAGTTGAGTTTACATCCCAAGCATGTACTTGATATGTGGATTTACTTATTATAGGTAATATATGCTAATTCCACAAGTTAAAACAGAAATATCACCTCAAGTTACATACTAACTTTTACAAATTACAAATACACAAACTATATAAGTTCAAGCTTCTGATACTCATTCCCACACATAATCCAAACATAGTTTGTATAAATTCACACTTCCCAGACCCATGAACCAACAATCCACTAAATTTGTCTTTTAAAACTCTAGAGTTAATCAAATCATGATAGGATGAGGTTTAAAAATTAAGGCATCATCGTTATAGCATATCAGTGAGTGATTTATATTCCAGGTCACAAACTAGCATCTGAACCATACATAATTCCTCAAGGAAGTTATAAGCACACCTATATCATCATTTACTACTTACATTTATATACATAACATCCATACCAATGACTTCTAATGCTAGGGACAGTGGCACATAAAATAGAAGCTCCTAACCTTTAAGGAAAACAATCTACTTACAGTGACGCCTTCTTGAGTTATGGTGGCCCCTTGCACGTGATCTTATAATAAAAAGAAAAACGATTGCAGAGAGCGTTACCCCGCCTGCAATTGCTCCTAATATTATTCCAGCCAATGCGCCTTTGCTAATATTAGAATTAGATGACGGTGTAAAAAATACTGCAATAACAAAGAACTTTAAGCCAATAAATCAATTTTGAATGAATTGTAATACTCGTTCGATAGCACCGCAAAAAAGCTATAATATGTAACAAGTTTTCAAGACCAACCATTCTTATAGATGTCTGATATTGTCAAGCTTAGAAGTTCATATGGTCCAAATATATCACTATCTTGAATTTTCCAATTTGTAAATTTGGCAACGATTCGTCGAACCTCACTGTCATTGAACATGTGAGAACTATTACTATCAGCAACAAATAGTGGGAAAATCTTCAGGTTCATTCTTAATCGAGGTCCCTTTTCCCACACAGGAGAACCAATGTCCAATTGTTCAAGATGTAACTTAAGACCATTGGTCAGATACTCCTCAAACATATGTTGATATGGACTAAAACGTGAAAATCCGGGACTTTTCAACCGATATCCAATAAGCAGAGGTGCAGAACAGATACAAAACGAGGGACATTTTGCTGAGTAACATTCATAAGAAGGTGGGCATATTGGCCCAGAACAGCCTAGAGTGTTATTTGTTGGAATGTCAATTATATCCTCACTCTCAGATCCGCAAAACTCCCCCAAGCTGTTATTAGAGCAAGCAGGATTTCCTTGAAGCCTGAAATTTAGAAAGAAAAAACATCAATAGGAAAGAATGCAAGTTAAACTTGTGAAGTTTGGTTGTACACTGTGCACATATGTACTTTGAAGCCAGATATTCAGAAAGACAGACATCAAATGAGAAAAAGTAATTTAAGGCATGGTTGATCTCTCTGCACAAATGGATTAAGTATTGCACATGCATCATGTCAATTTCTGGTATGATCTCTGCATTAAGGTCGTAATGCACTAATTTTGATATACCGAAGTTAGGAGGAAGAATCAAACCAGACAGTGACATTCAGAGGGAGATCAATGCTTCCCAGAATATCTGAAAATTTATTGTTCTGCAGCTCTCTGCAGTAAAGAAGAGGCAAAATTAAATATTTTGTAACAGAAGTGTGTGCTATTATGAACAAATAATAATGGCAGTTGCAACAAAACAAGTACACAGACACACTCAGCTCATGCACGAATCCATAATTCTTCAAACCCTCAGCATAGAAATTTAATTACTTCAGGTCTTACATGGTAAGGCTGTCCAAAGAATTTAGCGTCCTGCTTTGCCAAATGGTGGATGGAACAGAGCCGTTCAATGAATTATTTGCAATTGACCTGCCATGTGAAACTGACCAAATAATCATTTACTTTGTTCATTGAGTTATATGTTACAATAATCAGTAACTTCAAAGTTCAAACCTAAGTGAATGTTTGGGGAGACATCTATTTTATCTATCCTAAGGAAAGTAATAATAGTAGGGATATTTGGTTATAAATTAAAATATGCTATTTGAAGAATCCACTAGACTCCTTATCAAAATAAATAAATGAACCCTCCCCTGACAAATGATGCATATAGATTGTGCATGCCCAAACACTGAACTTATAAAACCTTGTTCAATATTAATTTCCAAGACACTAATTTCCAGCATACCCGAACACAAATATCATATATCCTAAAATATTTAATTCCCAAATATTCATTATCTAAATAATTAATTTTTTCATACTCATCCAAGAAATGAGATTTCCTTCAATAAATGAACAATAGCTAGTGGCATACCTCCTCTTTACAATTGATCCTTCCCAATATGGAATCAGTATAACCCTCGACTTCAAGGGTTAGTTTTTATACTTTTTTTTTTTTTGGGTGCTCGTGCTTGGGAGGTAAGTGTGCTCTGTTCTCTCCCCTCCCTCTACCCATCTTTCCTTTTTCGATTCCTAGCATAGTAGCCTCAGATTCAAAAATTCTTAGCCCTTAGAGTGTGATTATTTCGATTCTTAAGAATGGAAGTTAGCAGTTGTCGCTTCGATGGTCAATTTTTCTGTATTTGGGCTGAAGATGGTAAGTTCGTGATAGAGGATGTGGGGCGAAATGCTTTGGTTCCCCCTTCATTCTTCTCAATTTTTGTGGATCGAAAATCACATGGGAGTGATCAACCAGCAACCGATTTCGGCTTATTTCAATAATCAGATGATCTTGGTCAATGTAGATTGAGAAAATTTAGAAGTAATTCGTCCTGGTTTCTGGAATGGGTGATATGGTCTTTTACTGGAGGGAGAAGGTGTGCTATAATCCCTGTGGGTTCTACATGGGAGGGGTGGAACATTTTCTGGAATATGTTGAAGACCTTCTCAGTAGGGATAACAGAGGCCCAAGCTACGAAATTAGTAAAAAACATCTGTTCCCCAATTAAACATAATGGTAGGATGCTCGAAAATTTGTCAGCAAATACATTAAACCACAGAGAGGATTAGAAGGCGCCCAAGTTGATTAACAGAAAATCCTATGCTGAGGTGACCAGAGAAAGACCGATAAAACTTTGGTTGTGGCTACGAAGAAGGTTTTATTGCTAAAATCACACCCGAGTAAGCCGGCCTCTCTAAACCATTGGTTTATAAAAGATAAGGAGGTGTTAGATATAGATTGGGATTCTACCATGGTAGTCTCAAGAGGCAGTGCTGAAGATGATTTGAGGGGTACTTCTAGAGAACTGGAAGCTCGGAATTCTCAGAAGTGTTTCATCAACCTTTCATGGCTGATAAAGCCTTACTAAGTTTGGAAGATGGTAGAATGTTGAAGAAAGAAGAACTCTCAGGGAAATGGAAAAATATGGGGCATTTTTTCCTCAAGATGGAGAGATGGAATTTTCAAAACCATAGTAGAAAGAATGTGATTTTCTGTTACGGGGGCTGGATTAAAGTGCTAGACTTACCCCTTGAATTTTAGAAGAAACAGGTTTTTGAGGCCATTGGAAGTTATTGTGGTGGTCTGGTAAGCATCTTTTTGAAAACTTTAAACCTTCTTGATTCCACCACGGCTTCTATTAAGGTTGAACGGAATCGATTGGGATTTTTGCCTGCATCAAATCACTGACCCTTTGTTTGGGAAATTCACAGTCAGAATGTCAACAGGATCTGATGTTGTAAGCTCCTTAAGTAGAAATTCTTCACATTTTGCTCATCTTGATCTCAAGGACTTTACAAATTCCCGCGACTACAAGCGTTTTTCTGAAATTATGGAAGATGAAAGGTCCTCCACTCCTCCCATAGTAAATCTCTCTCTTATAAGCCCGAAGACCTTCCATCTACCAACAGAACAAACGTTTCAGAAGCATTTAATGACTGTTCGCCTCCCCAGACTAAGGCCGGAATTACTTTAGTAAATGTACAGGTGATGTAACTCATAGTTACCAGTTTATAGCCGTTAGCCAAATCCAGATAATAGCCATCTGTTAAAATTAGTTAGTTTGTTGATTGAAGTTAGTTAGTTTGTTGTTAGCTGGGTTGGCAGCTCATATAAACCAACGCCGGCCTCTCTGTTTAGATAATAAAGTTTTCTGAAGTTTTCTTTCTATTGGTCTAAGAAGCACGGACATGGGACACGGACACGGACACAACAGGACACGGCGATACGTCAACTTCCAAAAAACTAGGACACGGACACGCTGGGGATACGTTATTTATTTATTATTTTTTTAGGATATAGGTAAATTTAACATAAAAATGCTAAATATACTTCGCTAAAAAACATAAATGTCAAGTAAATTTATTGGGTTGAAGATGTACCCACTAAAAAGCAGAAAAATAGTAAATGTAATCCACTAAAAAAATCCTAGAGAAGGATTTGAATTTGATTATTGGGTCGAAGTTGTCATCCTAATTTAGTAAAACATATTCTACTCCAGTTTAATTCATATGAAATTAGGGAAAAAAGGAAGTAAGAATAGAGCTTATTTAATTTAACTCACACAAACAGAAGGGTGGGTCACTCGGTAGCGTTTTAGGTTTTTTTTTTGTAGTTTAAGTTTTTGAGATTTCAGCCAAACTTCTTGGACTTCCAAAAATTGGGCTAAGGAAACAATATTTTTTTATCTAGCGTGTCCCTCCCGTGTCCAAAACGTGTCCCCACGTGTTTGAAATTAAAATAAAAAATTTAATATTCGGACACTTTAAATTGTGTGTCGGACACGTGTCCGGAGTGTGTCCGGACGTATCCGTGTCGGACACGTGTCCGACACAGACACTCCTCCTTTTTTGCCGTGTCCGTGTTTTATAGCTATTGATCTACACCAACAGGAGTGTACAATTTTTGAAAAAGCCAAACAAGGGTGTCTTAAATGCAAAACCCAAAGAAGATGAAATGTCGACACTTTTATTAGTAGAAGAAAAAGATGCTTTGATGGGCTGTCCAGTGATTAATAAGGAGGTAATCAAAGAGTCCTCTCCATTGAAAGAACTTCAAACTGAAGCATGAAGCATTTATTGTCACAGGAAACAATATACAGCCTAGCATCATTAATGTTGTTGTCTCTAACAACATTAATTCAGACCTTGTTGATATTCCAAAATCGTCACCAAACACAGTGCCTAAAAGAAATCGAATTAAACCACTTCCATTATTTTATTCAAGACGAGTCCCTGTTTCTGGGAATCTTAACCGACAAAAACTTCAGGCGGTAAAATCCAACTTATGCGAAGCTTTTGACATGGTTCAATTTAAGTCTTCGGCGTTGAAGAAAGGATCGATATGGATGAGGAGATCATCTTCTTGGGTAATGTTTGATGGGATCTCCACAGTAACCGGGATGAAACCACTGTCATTATTCATAATCTTAATCTTCAGTTCCATAATATCTCGGAGATTCGCAGCTGCCCTCGAGATTTCTAAGAACCCCCGCACTTGTCTCCAATATAGGGGATGATGGAATCATTCCAAATATGAAGGGGAAGGTCTCGGATTATGATCTAGCCACCGTAGGAAGGGACCTTACGATTTGAGTTAATATTCTTCGTGTTCCATTTAAGAAAACGTAGTTTGAATGAGCCAATGGGTTGCCATCCGTCAGTGAGGGTGAGTGCGGTTGCTTGTTTGTCATCTTCGCATCTGAGGAGAGCTTTATCAGGGTGAATAGGGTTGATGGAGCAGAAATCACTCACAATCTCTTATACGGCCTGAAGGATGGAGTACCAATCATCATGGAATGATTGTGACGTTATACTATTATCCAGCGGCTCCAATCGATTTTGAGGGCGAGTCTGTGATTTGGTAGTGATGGGTGAGTGATTGCTTAGCCGGGAGAGAGTCCCGTTAAGGGGGGAGGGGTCTGATAGATCCCTAACAAAAAGGCCGGATGTCTTTGGTTTGTCGACCGTGGGATAGTTAAGGATGAGGTGGTAAAAAGTCTTCCATCCTTCCTTACCTACACCAGAAGGAAGCATAAGTCCATTTTACCACCATCGCTGTCAAGCTTGTTTATCTCAAGCTGCATCCTTTCTTATTGCTTAGCTTCTCAATCCCTAGAGTGTAGTCATCACTTCGGTGTTCTTTAAAGAATTTGTGGGTAAGTGGTGTGTCCAATAACAGGTTGATGGATGAAGAAAGCCATTGAATGGATGCCCAGGTAAGGGAAATGGAGTAGGTCACATCCTTTCCAACCTCAGATAACCGGGCGCGACTCCCTCTGAAGTGTTCACTGACCTTGATCGAGAAGGTTTTTCGTTCAATCCTGGCTTCGCGAGCAGGGTAGTTCCAGGTGCTCATCGTGTTCGGTAAGGGGGTGGGAGGGGTGAGTAGGGGAAGGGAGAAGGTAGTTAGAAGGAGAAAGGACCATCTCTACCAGTGGTGGAGGGGAGGAGGAAAGAGTTAGGCTGGTCGGTGATTGGGGAGGGAGGAGAGTACGAAGAGAACATTGGAAAAACTGTAACTACAAAGATACCCATATATTAAACCTTAATTTCAACCTTCTTGTGTAATTGGGTAACTCTAGAAGTTGTCATTTAAAAGTTGTCGTTTATGTTCGGTTCCAGTAACTTTATCCTTTTGTTCTCTATACAATTAAGTTTTCTGTAAGATTAAGACTGTATTTCAAAAACATACAAAGTGTTGTTGAGGCGCACCCGGGCACTCGCCTCGGTGTGCCTCGATGCGCCTTTGTGCACCTCTCGCCTGAGGTCAGGTGATCACCTCATCGAAGCGAGGCGATCTGCCTTTTTTTTAATGTGTTTTTTTAAAAGAACCTTTCTCCCTCGCGAAATACCTCAGTCCATAAACCCTAACCATTCTCTCTACCTCTCGACATTCACCTTCACCACCCTCAATCTCCGGCCATCGCCCGTTCCCGTCTCCGAATATCACCGTCGCCGCTCCCGTCTCCGACTAAACTTATTGAATTTGGTTGTTTTATGTATCTTGTTGACATTTACTATGACACTATTTTGGTATTTATTTTTTATACTATGTTTACTATATAAATTATGCACTATATATATAATTTTTATTTATTTATTAAGGTGTGCCCGCTTCACTCAGGCGTCGTCTTTATATCGCCTCTCGCCTGAAGGCGATAAAAGGGATTGTCGCCTTGAGGTGCGCCTTGCGCCTCGAAAACACTGCATACAACATGATGCATTCTTCTAAATTTCGAGAGAATAAAAATATTCTGCTATATTCAAATCTGTGCCATCTAGATTTTCTTATGTAAGAGAAAGACCCACTGTACACAAAACAATAAAAGACGACACCTTAAATATTGACAATTAATTTCGCACACAAATATTTATAAATATTGGAAATTTCAACAATTCTGTCAGCCAAATCCAACACCAACAACAAGGAATAGAAGATAAAATTCGCTCACAATTTCTGAAGATGTGGCAGACCCGAAAGATTGGATGGTATGGTGCCAGTAAGATGGTTGTTAGATAAAAATCTGCATTTAATATATAGATGAGAGAAAAATCAAAGAGACATTCAACATCATACTTTCATGGCAGGTCTTAAATCTTTAAGGGGTCATTTGTTTTTAAAGATCTGTGATGTCTGGCATCTTAGATGCCAGAAAATACAAATGTCAAGCATTGTTAATTTTGTAGAAAAATTTATAATGATGTCTAAGAATATTTGAATAGCTATGTTTATTTTGCAGGATTTGTACTTGGGAATGTCCAAAAATTATATATTCGTTTCAAAAAAGCCCTTACAAATATTCATGTAATTCATACATTGACTTTTATACCTTTACTAATTTCATAGTTTTTTTAATCAATTTAGTTTATATTAAATTTAACTGTTATTTTGTAGAACACAATAATTTATATTAATTTGAATTTAATATTAACTATTACTTAATTTTTTTCTCAAAAGAAAATTATGCATTTTTATTGGATTATATTTTTACATTACTAAATTAGAAAAAAAATTAGGGAAATAATATTGATTTCTATGGAATTTTTTTTACATGTATAATTAATATCAATTTTAGGAGAATCTACAACCCAAATAAATGAGGATGTTATATAATTCAATTGAAGTTTATTTTTTATGTAACTGCAATATATAACAATACTATATAAACAAGCACAAAGTTGTTTATTAGTAAATGCGTATATTAATTTATTTTAATTAAAAATAAAAATAAAAGTTGATGAAAGATAATATATGAAAAAAGAATGAAAAGCAAAAACATAATGAGGAGATACCCTCAACATGAGAATCATGAAAACTCGTGTTTCAAAAGGACATCAAAAATACCTTAGATGTCCAGGTATCCTACAATCCTATAAAACAAATGCGGGAATCCATATGCATGTCCCATGGGAATCTTGAATTCCCACGCATCAAAAGGTCCTAAAGTTCTTTAATTGAACACACTGAAAATTTGCTTTCAAAAGATTAGGATGAGATTCTTACATGGTTGTGATATTCTCAGAAAGTTTATTCCGTGGTATGAATCCACTTAGCTGATTGGAGCTTAGATCTCTGAAATACGAGGTAACAGTAAAGAAAAACTGCGTCAATTTTGAAGGCATGTACCTCTTATATTCCTATGCCAATATGACAAAGACATTTCACATCGATACTTATGAATATTTACACAAGAAGCCTAATTTAGACTTACAGATAACCGAGGTTTTTTATCATGCTCAAATCAGGAATAGGTCCTTGCAAGTTACAGTTCCTTAGACTCCTGCAGGAAATCAATCAATCACAGAAACGACCGATGCATATATTTTATAAAATTAGTTCAATAACTTCAACTGTTACAGAAATTTTAGACACAACGTAATAAGATCCCGTTTGGTAACGTTCCAGCTTCTTGTTTCTTCATTTTTAATAAATAAAAATAGAATTGCATAGCCCAACACCCATGAATTCAAGGATGATCAAACAATGTTTATATTTATGTTTTACAACAAATTAGAAACGAAAAAAAAAACAAGAAACTTTTTTTGATTGTTTCCAAAATTTCTATACAATTTTGAGAATTGTTTCCAAAACATGAGAAACAAGACACATAATTAGTTGCAAACATAAATAAAAATATTGCTTTATCATTCTTGACTTATAAGGAACAAGAAATAGCTATCAATTGCAATTATGTTTTTCTTTATTAAAAAATAAGCAACAAAAAACAAAAAATGGAACGTTACCAAACGGGCCCCAAGTCTCCACCGTTTCAATGGCCAACTAAAACCAATAATTTAAAGATAACTTACAATTTCAACAATTTAGTCATATTTCCATAACTATCTGGTATACTAGACTGGCTAAAATTGTTGTTGTCGAGTTGGCTGCAAATCAAATGAAATCAGACTGTTAAGAAACTAAAAATCATTTGAAAAGGATAAATGCAGAAGATTACTCGGGCAAAATAAATTCTCGAAAGAAGGCCATCTAAATAAAATTGGGAAAAGAAAGATGAACAGTCATTCAGAGAATGATAAAAGTAACAATAGTACTAATGAAAAGCACCAAACAAAGCAGGTTCACGGTGGGTCATCTTCTATTAGATGATTATTCTCTCATGGAATGTCAGGGGCTTAGGCTCATGGGATAAACGGGCCCTTATCAAAAGTCTCATCACAAAACACAATCCCACCATTGTCATCCTTCAAGAAATGAAACTTGAGAGAATTGATCGGCTTATCATTAAATATCTATGGAGCTCCAGGGACATTTGTTGGACAGCCCTAGATTCTACAAGAGCATCGGGGGCATTCTCATCACGTGGAATGATCCCTCTTTCCAAGTTTCTAACATAACCATGGGCCTTTTCTCTCTATCTATCCTTATTACTCTCTATGATGGCTTCTTTTTTGGCTGACGGGTGTTTATGGCCCAACAAAATCATAGGAAAAACCCATGTTCTGGAGAGAACTGACAAACCTCTCCTTTCTCTATTCGAATTTTTGGCTCTTGGGGGAGACTTCAACACAATCCAATAGTCTCAAGAAAAGTCTACCTACCGTAGACCCACCATAAATATGAACCGTTTCAACACCTTCATTGATCTCGCCAATTTACAGGATTTGCCCCTCACCAATGGGCTATACACATCGTCTAATTTTAGAGAAACACCCACACTCTCCCTGATTGACAGATTCCTTGCATCCAATGATTTTCTCTCAAAGTTCTAGAATGCATCTGTCAAACGTTTAAATCACCCAACATCAGACCACTACCCCCTCCATCTTTCCTTTGGCATAGCCAAATGGGGCCCACCCCTTTCCAGTTTGAGAATGCATGGTTGCAGCATCACTCCTTCTCGCCTATGATCAAATATTGGTGGGCAAATTTTCCCCTAAGGGGCTGGCCGGGACATGGCTTCATACAGAAACTAAAGGGGCTGGAGGAAGGGATCAAAATCTGGAACTAAACGACTTTCTGTAACATCAATATCCAAAAAACCAGCTTCTGTCAGAGCTAGCTATTCTGGATGGCTTGTAGGAGGATGGAAACATGCAGCCCTTACAAAGCATACCGAGGAAATGCATCAAAGCTTAACTCCTATCCGTGGTGGCAAATGAGGAGATTTTGTGGAGAAGCATTGTAAAGCCAAATGGTTACAAGAGGGGGACTTAAACACTTCTTTTTTCCATCACATTGTGGCAGCAAAGAGGCGGAAAAACTCTACAACAGAACATTGAGAAGGAATCCCTTTCTTTTTTGACGGATTATACACAAAGAAGGATGGGATTCGGTTTCTCCCTTATCCTATGGAATGGAGCCATATCACTCCCCAACAAAATTCGGAGCATGGGAAGCCCTTCACAGAGGAGGAAATTTGCCAAGCGGTTAAGGACTTGGGGTCCAACAAATCTCCCGGACCGGATGGTTTCACGGATGAATTCTTGATGTAACTAACAGTAGTTAGTTCTACTTAAGTTAGTTTTAGTTAGTTAGTCTTTAAGTTTGGGTTGTTAACCCATTTGTCCGTGGCCTCTTCTTTATAAATAGGAGGTCATTTAGGAGGTCATTTGTAACTTTGAAGGCTTCTAATACAATCATCTTTCAATCTTAATTTGATTACACCAAATTGGTATCAGAGCGCCTAAGACCTTGGGCATTGCGAATGGCAGGGAAGAAGAACGTTCCTTCAGGGGTGATGCTTCGTTCACTGAAAAAGAGGCGGAAATTACCGCTGTCCTCTCTCCACTGTGAAGGAGAGTAGTTCTCAAACAGAGATGACAAAGAGCACCACTGTGAAGCCTTAAATTTAGCCAAATTAAACCGGTCCAGCAGAGGTTTGCGACAGTCCTTGAAGGTTATGAGGTTCCTTTCATAAGAATCATAGAGCAATGCTTTCATTCCATTTAACCACAACAAACGGCAAACGCCTTTGAGGAGGCAGGATCGGGCCAAGAAGTAGCTGAAGAATATTCTCCACTGCTGTATTGCTGAAGACCCATGATAAGTTGAATTCTTTGAATAGCAACAACCAACAATGCAAGGCATAAGGGCATTGAAAAAATATATGGAACAGATCCTCCCCACTTCTTTGGGCTCTTTGTTTTCCATAATATGATATAATCTCTATCTCGATATCCCTCTGATTAATCAATGAAATGCCTTGATCATTCTAAATCTCTAAGATCAACGTCTTTCTTTTACGAGCGTGGAAAAAACTGGTATTTTCGTCCCCTTCTTTCAACCATTTAACTTTACTTTTCTGAAATAAATTTCTCTCGTACTTAATGTACAATTTGAGCAAATCAATCTGGAGAGCGCACCTTTTTTCGGACTCCTCAATGGAAAGACCGACTTCTTCCTCCTTGATATCCAGAGAGGAAATTTGACTTAAAAACTGAATCTCAGCTGCTTTTCTCCTTTTCTCATTCTGTGAGTACCAAGACTTTAAAGATGATTTGAGGTTTCTCAATTTAGAAGAGAGAGAGAAAACAGCCCAGCCATAAGATCTATCCTCAGCAAGCTTGGCTTCTATAATGTTGATGCAGTCTTTATCGCTTAACCATGAATTAAGAAAGCGGAATTAAGGAATTCCTATCTATGTTTGGAGTTTCATGGGTGTGGGATCTAGAGGTGCCTCAAATCATTTTTCAGCTTTTCAGTGGGCAGCAAGCAAGCTCTAAAACTAATCTGCTTTGGGCTTTTGGAATAAAAGCTCTTCTTTCCGAATTATGGTTTGAGAGAAATGAACGAATATTTGAAGGCAAGAATCGATCTCCTATGGAGTGTTTCTCAATCGCCAAATTCAAAGCCTCCCAATGGTGTGTTCGTTCCGACCTCTTCTCTTCTTATTCTCCTAGTATGCTTTGTATGAATTGGGAGGCTTTTATAATTCCCCTTTAAGGAGGTTTCTTTAAGTTTATGGTTTTTATTTCTTCTAATGCTTACTTTTATTTATTTCTTGTACCTTCACTCCTATGGGAGTTTGAATCTTTGAACAATTTTGTTCATTTTCATTTATCAATAAAAAGTTCGTATCTTGTTCAAAAAAAAGAAAGCGGAATGATCTTGGTCCCCATTTGAAATCCCCTGCCTCCAGAAAGATTGGGAAGTGGTCAAATACAATTCGATCGGCCCGAGAAGCTTTGGAATTTGAGAGTGCAACATCCCATCTTGTTGAGATAAAAAATTTGTCCAGCAATGAGTGAATAGAAGCATTACCAGGCTTAGACCATGTGTACTTCCCATTTGATAATTTAATCGCTATGATCTCAAGATCCTCGATGAGTTGATTGAATTTCTTCATGGCTCTTGCAAATCTTGTGCACGAGGACCTTTCAGATGGCCGTCTAATAATGTTGAAATCCCCGGCTATGCACCAACATTCATCGCAAAGAGATTTGAGGTCCTGCAATTCTTTGAAAAAATGCTTCCTTTCCTTACAATACAGTAGGCCACCTGATTTGCCAATAGGGTCAATGACAGACCATCCAATGTCTTTGGAACTCCAAAGGGTCTTGATCGAAGAAGAGTCTAACTGGTGGGCCATTGTCTCTTACAAAAGTACTACCTTAGGATCCAGGTTCCGGATTAGGCGATTGATTTTCAGTCTCTTATCATCTTTTCCAAGCCCACGGACATTTCATGATAATATCTTCATGCTGAGTTGGGAATTGGTATTAGTTGAATACCAATCTCAATAAGGAAAGATGGAATTTCATCAGGTTCTTGAGCTTCCTTAAACTCACCAAAAAGTGTCAGAATATCATGGCCTAATGATGACTCACAAAGAACTTCACTGGGCGCTTCAATGAATCTGGGAAACTGCACTTTAATTGAGATAAATGAATAAAAACTACAAAAAGAGAGCTTACAAAAAAAACAGCCCAGCAACAGGAAACCCCTAAAGAAACGGGCTTCAATCCAAAAGAATGACACCTAACTGATAATTATAAAAAGCCTTAGTAACCGATCCCATAGAGAAGTATTAAATCTAATGAGGTTCCACACATAATCCACAGATCTCTCCACTCCCCTAAAAATTCTATTGTTTCTCTCCTGCTAAATATCCCATAGAGTAGCCACAAAACACGCTTGCCAAAGAAAACGCCCCTTGTCACGAAACGGGGGGAATGACAACACTTCCCCCATCATCGCCCTACTATCTCTGGATCGAGCCCAAACCAACTCAAAACCTCTAAAGAAACGAAGTCATAACTCCTGAGCAAACTGACAAAACCACAACAAATGCTCAAGATCCTCTGAAGCATTCCTACACAGAACACACCACCGCGGGCCCAAACAAAGGGAGGACATCCTCTGGATCCGATCCAAGGTATTAACTTTTCCAAGTAAGACTTGCCACCCAAAGAACTTAATCTTCTTTGGAATTTTAATCTTCCAAAGCGAGATGAACCAAGGGGTCAACAGGGGCGGAGAAGAAGAAGAGGACGACGAGGAGTTCAGGACATGGAAAAAAAACTATAAGAAAAACCTTTCGAAGGATTGGGGGTCCACACCCTCACATCTTCCCTCCCAACAAATAAGGAAACTCTAGACAGCAAATCCAATAAAACGGAAATCTCTGACGATTCTCGATTAGTCAAGGAACGGGTGAGCCCCAAAGAGATGGACAAACTCTCTTCTCCAGAACTTAAAACCTCGGCCACTGAAAGGAGTTTCTTATCAGAAAGAAAGTAGATCCGAGGGAAAGCAAGACACAAGGGTTTGTCGCCTATCCAAGTATCCTCCCAGAAGTACGTATTAAGACCTTCCCCCACAGAGACACGTAAAGAATGAGAGAAAACAAGGAAACCCAAAGCAATAGCCTTCCAGGGATTGTAGTTGCTAACTCTAGCCCCACTCGTCGGTACCCAATCAAACGGATGTAGCCCATACTTACTCACTATAATCTTTCGCCACAAGGCATTAGGTTTGTGGAAAAACTGCCATAACCATTTAGCCAGGAAAGCCTCGTTTCTGATCCTCAAGTTCCAAATGCCCAGACCTCCCTCCTCCAGAGGCTTATACACCTCTTTCCAGTTAACGAGATGAGCCCCACCTCCCGCATCCACACCTTCCCAAAGAAAATCCCTCATTAATTTCTCTAACCCTTCACTCACAGTCACTGGAATTCTGAAAAGGGACAAAAAGTAGTTTGAGATGCCTCTAAGAACAGATTGAATTAAAGTGAGTCTCCCTCTTTTAGAAAAAAAGCCTTATTCCAAGTAGAGAGGCGCTTCTGAAACTTTTCCAACACCGACGCCCAAAAGATAGCAAACTTTGGATTGTGACCTAACGGAAGACCGAGATAAGAGAACGGAAATTTACCAACTTCACACCCTACCAGAGTCGCCCACTCACTGATCTTAACGTCCTCACAATTAATTCCCAATAAAGAACTCTTGCCCCTATTAATCTTCAGACCCGAAATAGCTTCGAAGAAACCAAGAATGCAATTAAGATTCTTAAACACATTAGGATTTTCGGAACAGAAAAGGATGGTGTCATCAGCAAATTGAAGGTGAGAGAGACGGATTTTCTCCCTATCCACTTCAAAAGCTTCCAAAGCCCCTTTCTCCACTCCAACAGAGATAAGTCTACACAAGATATCCACCACAGGAAAGGGGCCAGAGGATCACCTTGCCTGAGGCCTCTTGAGGCTAGGATTTTCCCCCTAGGTCTCCCATTCACCAAAATAGAGAAATTCACCGACCTAATGCAATTCCAAATCCACCCTCTCCATTTGTAGCCAAAACCTTTCTTCCACAAAACCTTATCCAAAAAATCCCAATCCACATGATCATAGGCCTTTTCAAAATCAATCTTTTCAAAATCAATCTTAAAGATCACGCCCTCTTTTTTCCTCTTTCTATAATCCTCAATCGCCTCATTGGCAATCAACACCTGATCCAAAATTTGTCTCCCTGCAACAAAAGCCCCTTGCGTCTCTGAAATGGTAGCCGGCATAACCTTTCTACACCTGTCAGCGAGGGTCTTGGCAATTATTTTATAAAGGCTTGTAACCAGACTGATAGGTCTAAACTCTTTGACTTTGACTGCATTAACCTTCTTCGAAATGAGACACATATACGTCTCATTCATAGAAGCGTCAATCACCCCTCTTTCATGGAACTCCCGAATTACTTTCATCAAGTCCTCCTTAACTCCATCCCAATTATCCTGAAAGAACGCCATTACAGGTTTATTCAAGAAGGAACATTGAAAAAGATAAGCAAGTCCAAGAGTCTGAACATATCTCTGGAACTGAAATTGACGAGGAAAATGTCAATAATGAGTCTGACGTTATAGTATCCACTAATGATGAATCAGATATGGATTTGCCTATTGCTTTGAGGAAGGGAAAACGAACTTGTACTCAGTATCCATTATCTCACTTTGTATTCTATGACAAACTCTCAAGTCAGTATAGAAGTTTTATGGTAAACCTTACTCAGGTAAATATTCCAAAAACATATATAGAGGCAAATTAGACAATACAACATGAAGAATGGAGACAAGCAATGAATTTTGAAATGCAGGCCTTAGAGAAAAATAGAACATGGGAGTTGGTTACTATGCCTAAAGATAAGAAAGCAGTACGTTGTCGATGGGTATATACTGTGAAGTATAAAGCAGATGGAACACTTGAGAGGTATAAAGCACGGTTAGTTGCTAAAGGATATACTCAAACATATGGAGTTGATTATCTTGAAACATTTGCACCTATTGCCAAGATGAACACAATACGAATACTTCTATCTCTTGCTGTCAATCATGGATGGGACATGTTACAATATGACGTTAAAAATGCTTTTTTGCATGGCGATCTAGAAGAGGAAATTTAGATGGAGATTCCACCGGGGTATGAGCAAGCAGGAAATAAAGTTTGTAAATTGAGAAAAGCGTTGTATGGATTAAAACAATCTACCAGGGCATGGTTTGGTAGATTTTCTCAGGTTATGAGAAAGATGGGCTATAAACAAAGTCAAAGAGATCATACATTGTTTATAAAATATTCTGCTATAGGGGAAGTAACAGCATTGATTGTTTATGTGGAAGATATTATCGTCACTGGCAATGATAATAATGAGCAAGATAAACTGAGAAATTGTTTAATCCAAGAGTTTGATGTTGAAGAATTGGGAAGACTGAAATATTTTCTTGGGATAGAAGTAGCCTGTTCTAAACGAGGCATATTCTTATCACAACAGAAATATGTGATTGGTTTACTTTCTGAAACAGGAAAGCTTGGTAGCAGACCAATGGGAACACCAATTGATCAAAACCATAGACTGTGTGCAACTAAAGAGAGTCCCCCAATAAATAAGAAAACTTACCAGAGGTTAGTTGGAAAATTAATATATCTTTCTCATACAAGACCAGATATTGCGTATGTTTTAGGAGTAGTGAGTCAATTTATGCATAGTCCAAAAGAAGTCCACCTTCAAGCAGTATACCGAATACTTTACTATTTGAAGAACTCTATTGGAAGAGGATTACCATTTAAGAAAAGCGAGAAACTCAATCTAGAAGTTTATACAGATGCAGATTACGCAGAATCGATAGATGATAGGAAATCAACTTCGGCTACTGTACTTTCTTAAGTGGAAACTTAGTGACATGGAGAAGCAAAAAGCAGAATGTAGTTGCAAGATCAAGTTCAGAAGCAGAATTTAGAGCAATGGCATTAGGTATCTGTGAATTACTCTGGATAAAGATTATTTTAGAAGATCTGAATATTCCATGGGAAGGGCTTATGAAACTTTATTGTGATAACAAGTCTGCCATTAGTATTGCACATAATCCGGCTCAACATGATAGAACCAAGCATGTTGAAGTTGATAGACACTTCATAAAAGAGAAGTTAGATAGCGGTTTCATATGTACTCCATTTGTACCAACAAACAATCAAATAGCAGATATTTGAGCATTTGGTTAACAAGCTGGGAATGGAAAATATTCATTCACCAGCTTGAGGGGAGTGTTAAATTATAGTTTATTTTATTTTAAAGGTTTCCTATTTTATTTAGGTTAGCGTTTTCTTGTTCTAATAGGTAAGTGTTTCCCTAATCCTAATAGGCAAGAATTTCCTTTTAGTTTCTTCTTTGTGACTGCTATTCATATAGGCTTGTATCAATCATTTGTAGTAAGAAAGTGAGAATTATTTTTTCCTTATCAAATTAACACCCGTAACATTTCTGTATATTAGAGAGTTAGAGGGTTTCATACATTGGAGGAAGAGATTGAAATATTAACGGAAGCTGGTTCAATCATTGCTAAGATTGAGCCCTGATCAATCCAAGTTATCTTTTTGGAGTATTTCATGTAAAGAGCAATTGTGACTTTGCTAGGTTAGTAGGGTAAGAAAGTTGGTACTTTCTGATCCTATTATTTAGCTCCATGGTAGGATGCTTTTAGTAACAATAGTGGCCAGGTTTTCTAGCCTAATTTATAATATATTATCCTTTTGTCAAAAATAAATAAATAAACTGCCAGTACGAAATGAAAAATAAAATTACCTTAAAATTAAAATTGTATTGGTTAACTCAAGTTAGAAGACAAAACAATGGGAAAAACAAAACAATAGATTTGAAGAAATTAAGGCAGAAGAAGATGGATGCATACAGTATTTCTAAGTTCGGCAATTTAAACAACTCGGGTGGAAGATTCCCTGATAGGTTGTTATTGTCAAGAAGGCTGCAAAATTGTGGAAAATTTAATTAGCCAAAAGAACGGACATTTAAATAGTACAGAAGAAAGGACGGTGTACGTGTACGTGTAGAATAGAAAGACCTGAAGAAGTCAACAACCTTGCATCAAAGAGTGTATGCGTTAGGTGTTGGGGGTGGGGGGGAGGAAACTTACAAGTGGACAAGATTTGGCAATCCAGATAACTCAGATGGGATTTCTCCACTAATAGAATTGTTATTCATGTGGCTGAGTCAAAGGGCAGAGGACAAAAAAACCTTTAAGAAGAAAAAGAAGTTACAATAATGTTTTCTAGAGTCAGAACCAGTAATGTGCTTACAAATGCTTTGTTGCTTTTAAGTTTGCGAATGTCTTAGGTATTGGTCCTGATATTTGGTTCTCGTCAATCTGTATTCTGTCTAGATGTAGAAGCTTCCCAAGATCTTCAGGCAATGGACCTGACAACTGGTTTCCGTTCAGAAGCCTGTAAACATCTCATAGAAATTAAAGCAGTGCAAAAAATAGGAAGTGTCAGATTGATGTTACAACTATAACAGAAGTTCAGAGGCGTCCCTTGTAATATTAAATATATAGACATCTTAAGTGGTTTATATAATCAAACTCTTCGAAAATTTATTCTTGAATTACGAGCATATTAAAATTCTAATGGCGATCTGATGATGTGATAGTAAATTTTTAGATAAACCAGCCAACCTCAGTCAAAAAGAATAAGTAAACCAGAAGGAAAGTAGCTCGACTTACAACAGTTCTAGGGACGTTAGATTGCCAATCTCTCCTGGTATTCTACCACTTATCTCATTCCACATAAAGTCCCTTTTCACGAAATACGAAAAAGATGCATCAGCAGAGAGCGAAAATCACACCCACGAGCATGGATAAATCAAATTCTAGATCAACCTATTAGTCTTAGTTAAAAGAAAGATTGGTTTCTTGTTCTTTAATTACTTACAAAACTTTCAGGTAAGATAAACGGCCAAGTGCAGGTGATAAATTTCCTGATAAACTCATGTTTAGAAGTTGCCTGGAAATGAGAATGAAGATTGATAGTTTAGTCTTGTTCATGAAAAGGCACAAGGAGAAATATACAATTTAAAACCTTATAAATGACAGTAACTAAAATATGAGATATACACATAACCTTAACATGCGATAATTAACAAACTGTACACAATTAATTATTTGAACAACAGCCATTTCATAGATGTTTCAAGTCCCAAAGTTAACTCGGTAAAGCCTATAAAATTAAGAATTTTAGATTTTCCAATTATTTTAAACTAGTATCAAAGGATGGATGGGGATGCGCCTTAACATAAGTTACAAGAGTCAATAAATGCTTGAAACCATACAATTCAGCAACATGTAGATAGCTATCATCCAATGTGGTATTGAAGCACAGAACACCAGTCCAGTTTGAGATACATGGATCTCCCTTGTTCCAGTTGCTCAGATTCTGATTAGGATCGATCAAACTTTTCTTGATGTCGAGCAAAGCGTCCACTGAAAATTAAAAGAAACGGTGACCCAAATGTTCAAGGAAGAGACAGGGTTAGATCTTTAGAGCTAAGCTGGGCATGGGCTCCTGAGTTCTAAGGATCATGCTTGTGACACTAAAAACATAATATCCAGAAAAAATAATGATGGGAAGTCAATTGGGTATCTGTAACATAGCTAGAAGAGTTCTAGACTGCAGCATCCGGGGCGTTGAAACATAATCTTATACAAATTGAACCTAGAAACTGGATGCGTCAAAAAAAGAAAATTGGGATTACCTTCGGAGGGGTGGGTAACGGGCTCTGCTGCACCGAGGAGTAACAAGGACGAGGAGAAGCAGAGGAGAAGAAGGGCAACATATGCCCACTCCTGTGATCGACGCATTGCAGGAGTGAAGGAAAATTAGAACCCAAAAAAGTACCTTTGAGTTAAGAGATTTGAGGATGAAAAAAGAATTGAAGAGGAAGATCAATAGTTGAAAAGAGAGATGTTTGAGTTTCAAAAGATGAAAAGGCGAGGGCGGTGGCTGTGTGGATGGGCAGATCAACGAGGCAGTTGTGTATCGTAGACATTGTTGTTGCGTTTCAATGCTGTAGCTGATGACGACGGCAGGCATCCTTTTCATGCACTCCGTCAAAGTCATGGAAAGACAATAAATAAAATAACAGCGAGAAGGTCAGAGTGGGTGTAGGTGTTTATCAATAATTTAAGTTGATTATATTTTTCCTCGGGTTTGTTTTGGAATTGGACTTTCAAAGAAAAGACACGAGACAGAGAGAAAAATAGAAGACACTTGTTGCCGTATTCCCGTGGTCGGAATCGGAACCTTATTTAAAGTCTCGGCTTTGTCGTTGTACTCGAACTCATACCGGAGTTGTACATCTTCACTTAATTATAAATTCAAATTGTAAGTGAGGGAGTAGGAAATCGTAGTTGCTCTTGAATAATAATTAATGTATTAGGTGAAGAAGATAAGGTAATTAGAGGGTACAAATCTACCGCCATCTAGACTCATTCAACTCAATTGGCTAATGGTAATAGCTATAGCTTTGCCAACAAAAATCGAGACTTGGCCATCGATTGGTGACGGTGGACGTGCCATAACAATTGCCCAGGAGAATTATCGACGTTAAAGAATCGTTTTTAAATAAAAAATTGTGGTGTGAATAAATAAAGTACCAAAGGAGTAGGTGTACCATAATTTTTTCTCGATTTTTCTCCGTATAATCCATAAAATGTTGAGATTTTTCATACTAAAATATTAGGTTATATATATAATCTTCATGACAATTAAGTCATTTCTGTAATTTAAAACTTGAAATGCAACGGTTCTTTGCCTCGAACTCGGTCCTAGCTCCGACCTGAAAGACTGGGAAGACCTGCACAAGAGGGCAAAATCTTCGACGCTCAAGTCAGTAAGTAGCTCGAACTCAATATTAAATTCGAGAAGAAAATTCATACCTGATGGTGAAATGGGGCCCTCTATTTATAGGTTTAGATCCCAACAGGGTCACGACAGGCAGTTACCTTGGTCGGTTTTGAGGTCAGATATGTCGGGTTCGAGTAGATCGAACTCGGATACTTTCGATGTGGTAATACAATTAGGAGTAATGAACTTCCCTCCTCGGAAGGTTCCGAGGAGGAGCTTTGCAAAACAATCTCTTCTGACTACCAATCTTTATCCTCCACGTGGCAATTGAATATTTTATTCCCGAACATCGGCCCCCTCTCCGCTGGGTTCGATCTCGACCTGGCAGAGAAGTTTTGTTATTATTTCGAAGAGACCAATCCACATGGTGACTTGAGCATTCAATTTATTCAATTTAGTAATTGTGCCATTGGGGGATCTCGAAAGTGGAATCGGAGGTCGGCGCGCACTCGAGTGACATTCGGAATTCTTCCGATCTGTGACGTCCGTTTTCAGACACGTGTGCGGTTGAGATTAAACTTCGAGTTACTATAAATACCTCCAAGGTTCTGTTTCCACTTTTTACGGTATATGAAATCTTGGAGTCCGACCTGATCAGATCGGAATTCATGCTCTAGTCAATCTCGTTCTTTTGAATTTGTCTTTTATTTTCTCCTTTTACTTTTCGAGTCATGTCGGAGTTCCCTAGTTCTTCCTTTCTTAGTGGCCCATCTAGTGACGTAGCTCGGAATCGTGATTCTTCGCCTAAGATGGCCGATTCCGTAGAGGAGTTCGCCAATAGGTTAGACTCCGAACTTGAGGAGGAGGAGATAGAAAATTTTAGGTTCTCTGATGACGAAGGGGATAATAGTGACACCTCCACCTTGGGCCAGGGCTTAGAATACCCTTCCCAGATGCTTGAGAACTACCTCGGCCCTCTTCGTAGGAGGTATAGTATTCCGGATGACATCGTCCTTAGGCTCCCCAAGGAAGGTGAGAGAGCCGACAATCCTCTAGATGGGTGCGTAACCATTTACTTGAAAATGTTTGAGTACGGGTTCCGTCTTCCAATCCATCCCTTAGTGCAGGAGTTTCTGTTCCGAACTGGACTAGCTCCTGCGCAAGTGGCCTCCAACGGATGGGGAATGGTCTTTGGTCTCGCCGTGTTATTCTGGCTTAGATGTAGAGAAGTAGATGACCCTGACCTCGTTGGAATTGAGCAGCTTGTAGCTTGTTTCGAGGTCAAGCGCATCTCCAAGAAGCCGGGGAGGTACTACTTGTGGGCTTGGAAGGGCGCGGGAGGCATTTTGAAAGGACCGACCTCAATAAAGAAGTGGGTCGGGAAATGGTTCTTTGCCTCCGGAGCGTGGTTAGCCAAGAACGAGTCTGATCTGCCTTTCCACAACGTCCCTTGTAGGTTTGGGAGCTTAGGTAAGGGGTCGAGTCTCTTCTTGTTCTTGGTTTCTTTTCTTCATGGTCTAACTCGTGCTTTTCTGTCAATTTCAGTTGCTATTCGGCCGATTCCCCAACTCTCCGAGCCGACCTTCAACGCCTTGAAGTACTTTAAAGATCGATTCAAAAGTGGCAAGCAGATTGGTACCCTCGTAACGGATAAGCTTCTACTTATCTCGGGACTACTCGACTACAACCCTCTCTTATCTCCACCTGAAGCTTAGAGACTGAACTCCAAACTCGGTGAGTCGCCTTTGCTTGATGTCCTTACCAGACGCTTTTTGCATCCTTGGGTTCTAACTCACGATTGTTTTCCTTTGCAGCGATGGTTTGTGGATTTTCTCAAAACGTGAAGCGCAAGTGCCCGAGTACTAAAAAAGCTACCAAAAGCAATGAGGCGCCCAGCCCCATGGTAGCCGACATTCCTGCCGAGGTCGAGGTGGTTGAAGTTGGCAATGCGGCTGCTTTGTCTCAAGGAGCAGTTGCAGCGGGGACCTTACAGGGTCAGGAGATCCTTGAGGTCTCGCCCCTTAGGGAGATTAGGAAGAGGACTTCTCCCAAAAAATCCAAGAAGAAGAAGAGAATGACCCACCATTCCGGGGACGAAGTGAGGGAGGTGGGTGTTGGTCGGCAGGTTAGTCCTTTCAGGGACCTAGTAGATGATCCTGAGGCTAGGATGGGTGGCACCTCCGACCTCGAGATGAGGTTCAAGATCGAACCATCCAGTGCTGGGGTGAGGGAGAGAGCTATGGAGATTTCAAACTCTTGTTTCGACCGCTGCTGGAGGAGAGCTTCCAAATTCGTCAGCGCTCCGGGCTCAACCATCCAACGCCTGC